ATCCCCCTCCAGTGACACGAGCCAATGACAGGCGCCCTGCTCGCAGCAAGCCCGGCCTCCTGCCTCCCCCGGGCACAATTGGAGGGAGCAGAGCAGGGCTGGGGAGAAAACCCAGCCCTCTCCTCCCACCCCCGCCGCATCCAGCCCCCCCCTCCCCAGCAGGAACATGCCATCAGCCGAGGATCCGGCCGTGCTCAAGGCAGCCCCGGGCTGCAGCGATCCAGGAGCCGGCGGGCACACGGGGCGGGGGGGACGTGGTGCCTGTCCCGAGGCAGGTACAGCCTGCTGGGACGTGATCGCAGCCTGGGGCTGGGGTGTAAGCCTGCTGTGGGGGAAGGTGCTGGATCCTTGTGCTGGTGCTGGGGCTGGGGTGTAAAGGGGAAGGGGTTTTGTGCGTGCATCCTGCCTGCACATGGGGGGGAACAATTTGTTGCGCGGCGGCACGTGCGTTGGCAGGCGCGGCGCGGGGGCGCAGCAAAAGGCCCCGGCCGGGCAAGTGCTGGGCCGTGCGCTGGCCGGGCGCTTCTTCTCGCAGGGAAAGGCAGAGGGAGAGGACGGAATAAGGGATGCCCCCCCGCCCAATATCATGGGGATCCTCTGGTTCAAACAGGTGCCGGCGCCCGGGCGGCTGTGCCCAGTGTGCTCCAGGGAAGAGAAGCGGCTCCTCCAGCCTGTCCCCCCCAGCCCAGCAAACTCCGGCTCCCGATCGCTAGCAGAGAGAAGATGAGCCGCCACAGTCAGGCAGAAAGCGGGATAGATCCATCCTCAGAGGTGTTTCAGCCCCGGGTAGACAAATCCTTGGCTGGGAGGAGATAGCTGGGCGTGGGCAGGACTCCGCGGCCTCCTGAGCTCCCTTGCAACCCTAATCCTCCGTGGTTCATTAGCATCTAATGAAGGCAGCCCCCAAGAAGCATTTAGCTACTCCGCATCTCTGCCTGAGTTAGTCTATAAGGCGCTCAGCTGCCCTGATCTCTGCCCATTAGGTCAGCAGGACGCTGCCTTCTGCATCAACTGCAGCCGGAGCGTGGTCCCTCTGGTTTTCTACCCCCGTCTTGTGGGTCTGGGGAAAGGGAAATATTAAATCAATGTTTCTGCAAGAATCAAATCTAGTTTCGCATTCACTGAGGGTTTGTTTTCCCAGAAGAAAGGGGGGCGGGAGGGGGAGATGTGTGGAGAATGCAACAGAAACCCTTCAAATATTAAACGGAGTAGCTAGGAAGAGCAGCTCCCGGCAAAGAGTCCTGCTTAAGTTTGACTTCCTGGCAAACCAGAAGCTGCTGAGGGAAGCGATCCAGCCCCGGAATGAGATCCTCTTCAAAGAAACGTCTCTCCGTGTGTTGTTGGGTTTGTTTGGGGTTTTTTTATTTTTCTCCCCCAACCAGATGGTGCATGAAACAGATTGCAATGAGACACGTGCTCGCAGGGATTTGAGCAGGACCCCTGGGGGTAGGGGATGGGGGCGCTGTCTGCCCCGGGTTTATCAGTGAGGACATGAACTGAGCTTGTCTTGTGCACATGCAGCCGGAGAGTTGGGTGTGGGGGGTGCAATGCACTATCCCCGCCCCCCCGGCCTGTGGATGGGACGGGCAGTGGAGGGGAGAAGCAGGACTCGGCAGGGAGCGGGCTTGTTGAGGGGGTCGAGGAAAGACCCGTGCCTGTTAGCTCTCATCATACACCCTTGTGTGCCTCGCCCGTAGCTCCCGGGCCCAAGGCTTCTTCCAGAGCAGCCCTGTGCAGCCAGCCCATCTCTCTGCCCCCCGACTTCCTCCCCTCCGCTCCGGGATGCTGGTACCCCCCTGCCAGAGCCCGGCCCCTGGGCACCGGGCAGGAGCTGGGCACTGGCCTCTCTAAGCAAGGGGGGGCCCGCTCCGGCCGGGCACATCTGGGCGTGATGCCCGATCAGACCGAGATAGGATACAGCCCAGAGGCCAGCCTGCTTTCCGGCATAAAAAACAATCCTAGATCAGCCTCTGGTAGTAGGCATGGATATTAGGCATATATTCTCCGAGGAAGCAGAACTGGTGGTAGAGGTGATCTCTTTTATTAGACCAACTAGATGTTTGCAAAAAATATATATCAGAGAAGCATTTCGACAGCCCCAGCTCCGCCTGGAGGCAATGGGTAGATAGATGCTGGTAGACACCAAAGGGAACCTGTTGCCTCCTGTCTTGCCCATACCCTCTGGGCCCGGGGCAGGACCGATCCTTTATCTCCCAGGGATCTTTGGCCGCAGGGATGCTTAAAGCAACATCCTCTGCTCCGGGGTTATCAGCTCCTTCCCAGAGCCCGCTGCAATACAGCAGGAGAGAGTGTAGCTGCCTCTGCTAATCGCGGGCGCTAATCCATGATTTATAGGGCGAGGGCGATGTGCTGCCCTTCTCGCTCCCTGCTTTGTATCTCGGCATCGGAGCGTGTCTTGCGAAGGGACCCAGGGCCGGGGGGGTGTCTTTGGAAAAGCGATACTGGCAGGTATTGACTCATGGCGGGGACGAGAGAATCGCTCCCAGGAGAAAACCGAACAAAACCTGGAGCCGCTGCCGGCTCATTCGTGAGAGCAATTAATAGACAGGGCAGCTAATTAGGGAGCGGTCACTTCCAATAGGAGCTGTGCTCAGCCCTGGAGGCGAGCAGCCGCGCGCTTCGTGGAGAGGGGCAGGCGAGATCCCCCATGCAGTGACCAATTTGCCACTCACGAGCGAGGCAGGGCAGACAGGGCTTAACCCAGCATCCTCCTCCTCCTCCTCCTCCAGGGGCTCGGAGCAAGGAGCAGCCGGGAGCTACGGCTTCCCTTTTCAATGGGCTGGAGGAGGTTAGACCACGTGATGCGGATGGGGAAGTTTGGGGGACTCTCTCACTCAAACCTGCTTTGGGAGGGCTTCCCCCAGAAGGACCAGCCACACAGTCACGGAGCCGGAAGGTCAGAGCCAGCCGCGGCCCTACAGCAGCGCGGGGAAACTGAGGCACGAAAGTGACTAGAGGCTCCAAGTGAAATTGACCAAAGCCGCGCAACCGGCTAAGTACGCACCAGATGGGAAAACGTCTTAAGATTTGTTAGGGTTTTCAGATCCAATAAACTTAGCCGTGATAAGCAACACAGAGAGAAATAGATATATGCATGTGTGTATGTATATATATATGTATATCTGTACATACATGCATATATGTGTATATATGTGTGTGTGTATATATGCCTGTGTGTGTGTGTATGTATATACACACATATATAAGGTATGGTTTTGATACAAGCATAATTATGGAGCAATGCATTACCTATCACACTTCTTCCAGGGGTTTTCATTTGGGTTTCTTGTTTTCAGCAATAACATCAGGAACTAGTTAGATCTGGGTGAGCAGTACACAACCCCACCAGGATTATTCAGGCATCTACATTAGTTTGCTTTTCCACATTCGCATGCTGTGTGTTCCTTTCCCTTAATGTTTTTCTGTTCATGTTTCCTTGGCACAAATGATCATAGAAAAGGAGTCTCAAAACCATCCACCAAAGTATCTAAAACAACCACATTTTCAATTAGCACATGCAAGTATTTGTGTCAGAAGTACCTGTGAACTCACCCAATTAGAGAGCAGAAAAGAACAGAAACATGAGATTTATCAGGCTAAACACAGTTAAACAAAGCAGCATGCATAGAAAATAATGTATATTTTCAAGTCACTGGTTGTGATCTGTCCAAGAAGTTAAAAAGAGCATTGACTGCTGAATAATTAGGAGAAATCGATTTGTTCATGGGTGTTTTGGGAGCAAATGAGAAAACTCTACATAGCTAATTTATAATGTTTCCAATTGGAAACATAATACAAAACCTCCATATAAGTTTCCCTTACATAATCATTTTCCTGACATAATCATGAGGAAACCATGATTTTACTTGTCAAAAAGGAAAGATAAGGGTTACTTTTTCTCTATATATTGTTTATAGAGAACATATTTGCCATCCCCTCCCTGTTGGGAACAAATGCCTTTTATCCCTTTGTAAGTTCCTACTTGTTAAGTAAGTCCTGCCTGTTTGAAATATTCATACACACTACATCACATATATTTCATAGCTACATTCAGAGGCAGATAGTCTCTGGAACATGGTCCCTGTGGTGCTCAAAGAGAGGAAGTCATATATAGCACAATGTCAACAACCAAGAGACGATTGATGAACTGGGTGAGGCCAAGGTCCAGTTATAGCAACATTAATTCTCTTGGTGTCAATGTTTTTATGCTATAATCCAGTGCAGGCCATCACTTTTCTTCCTTTGCAGATGAAGCTGCTATCTCTGTGCCCCAATCATCTTCTGAACCTGTTGTCTGACATTTCCATCACTTCACCAGCATATTTTTCTCTTAGCACCACTCTCACAATACTATTAAGTAACCCTTAGGTTTGATATGCCCCCCTTCCCCCCCCCCCCCCCCCCCCCATTGGACTGCACATAATCACAGTTAGAAGGTTTAATGAGCAGCTGTTTCCTTGGCATGGCTTAAAATGGGGAGTAATAGAAATGAAGCAGAGAATAGAAAACAAGGGAAGTCCTAGCTATAAT